ATATATATATGCGTGTACATGTACATAAACATTCATTGAGCTGCTGCGGCAAGATATACATGTATTGTATTTCTTGTTTTAAGATTGAAAATAAAAAATCTGATTGGCTGACTCACTTTGTACGAAGATCTGGATCTTGGGAGAACGGACATGCCACCGCTGTCATCGACTCGAGACGAAATCAAGCCTATCGATATCGACGACCAGCACATTAAGCCAACACCTGCCATGCAGATACAAGCATATTAAACAAACGAAGATATTTTTTTTAGATTATAAATAAACGAATGTTGAATTGTAAAATGTACAAGTTATTTATTTCTCGAATGAAAAATTTAAATCCCTCATCGTTATAAATAAAGCGAACATTTGTGATTGTACAAGCAAAAAAAAAAATTTCATAATCACTATGTAAAGGGACTTGGTCCCATTGAATAAATAAATAAATAAATAATCATTAAGAACTGAATAAATAGACGATAGATTACCAATCTTGTTGTACAGTTCCGGCATGTAGAGCTCGGGTTTTTCCCTGTAGAAAAGATGATACTCGGCCTGCTCGACTATAGGGGTGACGCAATTGAATTGCCGGCAATTCGAGTAGGCCTCCATTATTTCGCAGGGCGACCATCTTGATGTCCCCCAGTACATGACCCATCCTTGGTCTATCACGTAATTCATCGCACGAACGATTTCTGGAACAAGCAAAAAAAAAAAAAAAATAGAGAGAGTGAGAGGCAATTTTTTTTACAACTTAATCCTGTAACGGGTATCACGATGGCCATGGGGCTGGGTTTAAGCCGCTTATCCATTTATTTTTTTTTTTTCTTGCCTCCGTTTCAGGTGGAGTATGGATTTTTCGAGTCGTTACGTAACGCGGGCAGATATAAAGCCCACGAGGAGAGATAATTCAAGGCGATTTCTCGAACTTTGCGCGAATCGGAAAAAAATAAGCAGTAACAATGGTAATAGGAGAAAAGGACGTACCTTCCATGGGACACGTGGAGTCGACTTTGTGGATCATGACGATGTCTATGTAGGACAGCTGAAGCCTGGCCAAGGACGCCTGCACCGTCTCGATGATGAATTTCCTCGAAAGTCCTCTCGCCTCGGATCTGTAAATACACCTCTAATTGAGCAAACAACCAAAAGTACTCTGCAGTTTTAGGTATATACAAGTGCTCGGGGACCTAAACACCTTGTGACATTCCATTGTTCACGCTAAAGCGTGGATAATCCAAGTAAATATGTACATGTCGAAATGTACGATAAATCATGAAGATAAATTATTGCTCGACTTGGGAGGCTTCTATAGCATCAATCTCCATTGATTGCTCTCATGATAAATATTCGGATGAACTTTATTTTCAGCTGATTAACGACATAAAGAATGGAGCTATTATTTTCACTGAATGTATTTTCTTTTTTATGCAATCTCTCTCTTTGGCATGTTTTTTTTTTTTTTTTTTTTTTTTTTTTTTTTTTTCCAGTATGCGTTGAAAACCACGTTATCGATTTTAAACAATTGAATGAAAGTGCTCGCGTATTAAACCTGTACCTCTGATTTTAAATACCTCCATATTATGGTTTTTTTTTAGATTTTACACGTACCTTGTATACATCATCAATAGCTTTGCCATTCAAATCCCCTGTTATATGTATACATCATCCCTACTCTCCTATAGTCGCTCCGTTACATCATTTGAATACGTAATCCAGCTTCGCTCGTGACGAGCGGTACAAGTATATTACCGATACCCCGTGCACTGGTTTCATATATATAGGTACTTGTAATAGTAACAATAATAATAATAATAATAACGTCAATTACTTGGGATTCCAGTAAATTTTCGTGGTGACGATGTAACTCGTGCGCGTCCAGTTGCGCTTCTGAAGTATACGGCCGAGTTGGGTCTCGGCTTTGGGCCCACTGTGGGCCTCGCTCAGGTCGAACACGTTGATGCCGCTCTCGTAGGCGAGGGCTATTATCGCCTCGGCGTTATCCTCGGTGTTTGTGCCGTTCACGCCGCCGAACATCGTCCACGTGCCTGGTACGTTTGAGGCCCAGGTGGTGCGGGGATCGATGAGAACGAGAAAACAAATTTTTGGGGGTGGTTTTTTTTGTTCTATTAGTCAAAAACGTAATCTTTTCTCTCCAATCTCCGGTTTTCATTAATATTCACACATGTAATAAACAAGCCATGTTGTGCACAGTCGAAGGTATTGGGGTAATTTTTACCGTTAAAGTACCTATAATATACGGTATAATATTTGGTAAAGCTATTTAAATGCTGCAGCTAAAGTGCATTTTTTTTTGTCCAATCGTACTTGTACGGTAAAATTACCGCGACATGTGTATATATAAATCATGTGAGAGGGTGTTGCGTGGTCGATGTAAATGTTTACGTGACACTTTGGTTTGTCATTGAATGAGACTTTGGTGGGTTTTTAATGTGGTATTATTGGTTATATAATCATTTTTTTTTTCCATCCCCTTCCAAGTGTCAGTGGAGGTGTCACTGCTAACACGATTAAGACAATCGCTTTACATGCTCAGTCTAGAAGAAGAAGCACAATTGAGGTTTGGAGGCTCAGTTCGGACTGACGAGTTTATTATTATTCGAGTGGAGGTTGTTTTGGCATGCGACATATATTTTATTGTATTTTTAAAAATATGTACAGCCATTGATTCTTTGACGATCGATAATCTACTGTTTGGCCACGGATTACAAAACCAATTTTTTTTACAATTTTTTTTTTTTTTTTTTTTTTTTCATCACATTAACTTACAGTACGAGAAAAAAATCAACTTTCCAGACGAGGGTTTGCACAGAAGAAGGATCCTCGAGTTTTTCAATTAATTAAAGTTTCTTTTTTTCGACAAAAAAGCGGTTCAAAGGAGACGCTTTGTTACAACGCGTCCATGATAATCGGAGGAAAAGCCATAAGCTGTCGGAAAACTAATGATCCCCGGAGGCACAAGTGATATAACCACGCATTGTTCCCCGCAGCTAATCATAGTTTTAAAATAGTTTAATCATTTTTCGAAAAGAAAAAAAAATAATTGTGAGTATCGAATTGTAAGCACGAGTATATTATTTTGTTTTTCTCCCCGTCATTCCAATGTACTTGACAAACGAACCACACGTAACGTACAAACAAAAAAACAAAAAAACAAAACGTTCATCCAGACAGTAGCAAAACAAAGGGAAAACAATCATGTCAGGTGTAACTGATAATGCAACACCACAACGATCAGCACAATAACGATCACGGCTATGCGAATATCAAATATGGGCAAGACAGCAAACAACAATTAAAAAATACGCCTTGGGCTCGTTGTGTTGCGGCAAAAGCATCATCATCATCATCATCATCATCACAGCTGATCCGAGCGACGAGGACGAGGGACGCCGGTGACGACGACGATCGACGCAGAGATGAAGAACTTAAGTACGCGTGCGACTCTCGACTCTCTCGAGTGCTCAAGAGAGGGGGACTGACTCTCGAGTGTGCCGTGGGCGGAAGAGGAGCACAGGAGGGAAAAGAGGGTAAGGAAAAAGCTCGTGTAACCGGGAGCTGTTTCCTATCGCCCGACCCCACTTTTTTCCCCCCACTCCTCGTGTCGTGCGATGATTCCCCACCCCCCAGTATTTTTATTCACGTAACTCTTGCAACTACTGGGTGTATCGGAGCTTCGGTGTCGGCAATGCATTGGCACTGCACGTACATGCACGACAACGCGACGCGGAGTCGTTTCGGGATTTATCGTGGGTGAGGAAGTTTCATCGCGCGTCTCCTGGTATGTAAGTACAGCGAATAACCTTCTCTCTCTTTCTTTGCCACAGGTTTACTTGAAAAAAAAAAAAAAAAAAAAAAAAAAAAAATGTTGTTTAGATGCTAATTCCGTCCGGCAATTAGACGGGGTAAAGAGCAAGCAACCGGACGCACTTTTAACTTTTCAGATGGAAATTGGCCACGTGCGCGCGCTAAAGGACATATACCCAACGAAATAATTCAAGAGCCAACGCACGCGTACTTTTTTTCAACGCTAATGTCGCCTAAGCGCGAACCAGCCGTGCAATTAACTCGGCTGTTCGACAGCGCGAGCCAAGAGCTGCCTTTAAAGGGAAACGCTCGAAGTACCTTTTTTTTCAAAAACTAAAGTTACTCGCGACCGTACGGATCCATGCACGTGCTTTTTTTTCTCTACCAACTGGATCGTCCGGGCGTCTGACCAAAACGGGCTTTTTCTACTTGCTGTATGACGCGATTGAAACAGACACGCGGGAGGCAAGGATTGTCATCCGATCGGACATTTGTTTAACCCCAATGATCTACCCCCTTCAGAGAGTAAAGGAAAAAAAAAAAAAACAAAAAAAAAGGTACGTGATGGGGTGAAGAAAGGGTGCCGGTTTGGAAGCGAAACAAAGATAAAGGGCGCGAGCGTCAGTCGTCGTCTCAAAGCGTAAGTATACGAGAAAGGCTGTTGCAGAAGCGGACGTCGCCAAAGAAAGAGAGAAAGAAAGAGAAGAGAAAAAAAGACACTTTGAGGGAGTCAGTGAGCATATGGAGGGGTGGGGTGAGATTTTCGAGAGAAGTAGAAACAAACAAACAAACAAACAAACGGAGAGGAGCCGGGGAGGGTGGTTGATTGTGCATCATGAGTGGACGGGGCGTAAATTGGGAGGAAAGGGAAAAGAAGAAGAAGAAGAAGAAGAAGAAGAGACACGGAAAGCGTACCTAATCCAACATTGGAAACACGTAGACCGCTTTTGCCCAAGTTGCGGTAGCGAATACCTGGCGACGGGTTGTGCTGGAGGCCGGCGCGCTGGAGGGACTGGCCGGCCAGGCAGCTGGCCAGCAGGTGGTCCTTCGTGCCAGGGGTGCTGCCGTAGTGGCCGCTCGAGTCCGTGCCTGCGCCGCCATTGAACTCTTCCATGCAGTCTAGGCTCGCTATTGGCGCCCGGCATCTTCCAAATATACAAGTGCATAATTTATCAAAAACCTTTTTTTTTTTTTTTTTCCATGCAACGTTTTTATTTCCACTGTATACGTGCTCGGTGTTTTAACGTTTAAGGCACAGAGCAATAAAAAAAAAAATTATATCCCAGTGTACCAACATACTGTGCCGTTGGTCGCAGAGAGAGTTATGTTTCGTAATCTAAGTATTAGCGCTCTGTCGTGCATTTTTTACAAGCACCCGGATGACGTTAAAAAAATACGGTCACGAACAAAGGGAGGAAGTGATTTTTTTGTTGGGACCAATTTTGTTATTCCGCTTGAGCCAGGTGCCTTTTTTTCCCACGAGAAAACCCGATGTCTTGAAAAATTTTCATCGTGAAAAAGCTTGTTTGTCACTCTCTTGAAATTTTTAAGGGTAGGAAGTTTCTTTTTCTTTTTTATTTGGAAGGTATAAATAAAAAGGACCATAAATAAGGTTCAAGATGCGGAACGAGAAGTACTTAGTGAGTGTCCCAGCGGGCTCGTCGTAGTTTTAAACTAACCCTTTTAAGCAAGCAACACTGCAAAGTAGCAGAGACATGAAAAAAAA